TCGGCCTCGACCGAAGCGACAGTCGACCTCCATATCCGAGTTTCTCAAACTATAGTCGATGAAATCCACTCATTGAACTCGGACAAGGCACGACCTCAATAAGCGGAGGGACTAACTGTATGGGTCAGAATCCGACCCCACGATAATTAACGAAGCTAATCCCGTCTCAAGCTAATTCGTGATTAATTAGTGGTACGACCACTCAGAATTAACGATATTCAACCCTTATCTGATTAAATCAACAAGGCCACGGCCCGTCCGTCGTCATGAAGGAGAAACCTCAATGCGGTCACGGCCACTTACTGCTAGCTCACGAAACTCACAGCTATAAATACCAAGAGAGGAAACCCAAGAAAAGGGAGGGGGGGGGGCTTCTTCGAAAACTATCGAGAGGAGAGAGAAAAAGGGAGAACAATGCACATATATGGAATACCATTGTAAGGCTCTGAACCTCTTCATGGAGAGGCAGACCAAAGCACTATTATGAATAAAAGCTTTATATTTCTCTTCCCAAAGTTGAGCACTTATTTGCGTTTCCTTCATTTGGTCCAATGGATTATTACGGTTTGCTATGATTTTCCCGTAATTTATTTATATTGTTTTATACTCATAAGGTATGTGATAACTTTTGAGCAAACAGCTAGTAATTAGTATCTTCTTTTATTATACTACGTAGAACGTATTGACACTCTGAAAAAAATTTCATTCAAATTAATTTACTTATTAGTTTTACTTTAAAAAAATAAATACAGCCATGGTACAAATTGTTATGCAGGGGCTAAGATTTCAACTTTATAGGTCCTAATATAGAACAACTACTTCAAATGCTAATAATTATTTTTAATTTAATATTTATATATTTAATAAATTTTATTGACACAAATATATTATTTGAACAAAAATGATAAAATTCGGTCCCATTGTTATATATTAGGTGCACAAGAATATATCGCTATTTCAACATCTTCCTCCTAACAACTTAATTCCTTTCATCACAATTTCATCTCAAGCAGAAGAATTAAGAACCTATTCTTCAGTAGAAAATTCAATTGTGTTATTTTTCTTATTTAGTCACGTTAAGTGGTACTTTTTTTCTTTTTGGTTAGGGTACCAATTGGGATGTTCATGGTTCGATTGGGTCTGTTTTTTCCTATAAAAAAAAATCAAACTAAGTAAGTCGGTTTTTTAAATATTGAAACCAAACCACACCAAACCAATTAAGTCGGTTTTTTATCGATTCGATTTTTGTCAGCTTTTCGGTTTTTTCGGTTATTTATCGGGTTTTTTGTTAAATATGAGACATACACTACCAAACACATATTCCGGCGATTACATTTTCAACGTAACACGATCAAATCAATTGCTCTTTGAGAAATCTATCATTTACCAAGATATATTGAAGATAATTGAATCAAATAGTGATGAATAATTAAAGTATACTCAATTAAAAATCGATTATTCTTATCATGAAATAAATTCCTATATTTAGCAAAAGAAAACTGCCAATCAAACTAGAATGTAAACGAAAGAATTAGATTATTATAAAAGCAAAGAACTAGACTAAAAATACAAGTGACTAATATGTATTATAAAATTTTAGAAACTTTATGTAAAAATATACATATATATAGGTATAATAATAAATTTAAATAGCTACTTTTCTAGTCGGTTTGGTTCGATTTTTTTCGGTTATTTTTGATTAAAACCAAAACCAAACTGAATTTGATGTGGTTTTTAAAATTCAAAACCAAAACCAAACCTAAAAAATATCGGGTTTTTTGTCGGTATGGTTCGATTTTTCAGATTTTTATGAACACTCCTAGGTACCAACATATACTGAAATAGAAAATTATTGTTGTATGTTTCTTGCATTTTAAATGGGAAAAAGAGCCAAATTTATCCCTCTACTTTTGGATATTGTCTATATTTAATCTCCGTTATACTATCGGCCAAATTTATCCCTACTATCAGCAGACTTTTAAAATTTACCCCTCAGTCCGTTAGGTAACCCAAAATCTACAAAATTCCTTTTATTTAAATCACTTGTTCTTCTTCTTGATCTACTATTTTCTGAAATTGCTATTAATATGAATACTAAATGTACTAAACTATACAAATTATTCATGCGTATTTTTAATTACCATTGCACCTACTTCTCTTCTTGTGATAATGGGTTTGGAATTGGTTTAAATTTTTTATAATTTTTCAATCATATACACACTGCAGAATTCAGTGGGTCTATTAGTTATGTATTATATATATGCGCCTGCTCATCATGTATGATATATATATATATATATATATATATATATATATATATATATATATATATATATATATATATATTATATAATGTCTAGTTAGTATAGAGCTTGGTCGACTAACTTTAAAGTACACAATGCATATAGATTTGATTAAAGCAAAGTTGAACTCGACAATGCAAAGTCTCCAAGGAACTTCAACTTATATCATTAATACTTGCAAAGTCTCCACCTTTGGTGCAACAAATTCATTAAAGCTGGATTGTTGTAAATACTTTTAGAATTTAGACAAACTATCTAATTTAAATTCTTCAATTTACTATACTTTGTTTATTAACCGTTATTTTACTATTTCTTTCTCTTATTTCTCTTTTTAGTTAAGATTGCAAGTAATGTCAACTGTTTTGAAAATAGTGGATCAAGAAGAAGAATAAGTGAGTTAACTAAAATGATTTGGGAGATTTTGGATCGCCTGACAGACCGGGGGATAAGTTTTAAAAGTTTACTGATTGCAGGGACAAATTTGGTTGGATAGTATGACGGTAGAGATAAATTTAATCGAATAGTATAACCGATGTCAGATGTAGACAATATTCAAAGTAGGGGTAAATTTGGTCCTTTTCCCTTTTTAAATCCACATACTTAAGCATGCCGTAAAGGTAAAAGGATCATCGTTTTTATTCTCCTTGAATTATATTAAGGTATCATGATTAAACTTAAAAACAAATTAGACCTCCAAACTTCTCATAATTAGGATATGCTATGTCAAAATTTACAATAACTTCTCTAATTTCGTCGGTAAAAAACTACTCCCTTCAGTCACTTTTACTTGATATGTATATTGAAATAGATGTTCACTTTTACTTGGCACTTTACGCGTATCAAGAGAAGACAACAATTTTTTTTCTGTTTTACCCATAGTATTTATTATTCATTTCAAATCATTTTCTCCAATCCAATAAAATATGCATCAATTAATATGTGTATCATGATAAATTATACACTTCATTTATTATTTCTTAAGGGACGTGAAAAGTCAAAAGGTGCCAAGTAAAAGTGACCGGAGGAAGTAAAAGCTAAGCGTTCATTGAGATAATTATGCAATACCACTTTCTTTTCTTTGTGCGATATCATATCCTTGATGATGTAATTCTAAGTATAGTTTCAACAAAGTAAAAGAATAGTGCAACATGATGCACAAAGCATCTGACAATTTACATTAGATTTAGGATCGGGACGCATCCTAAAAAGATGTAATGTAAGTAGCGTACCCTGAAACAAGCATTGGTTAATTTTACGACTCAAACTCGTAAATCACACGAAAATAATTTTAACATTGCTTCAAGATTTCTATTCAATCAAGTAAAGGAATCAAATAAAAAAATTCATAAATCAACCAATCTTGTCCATTATGATAAATGCAGAGCATCCCAAGGATAAGGATCCAATCCTACCTTACCTTTTCATTTTTCATTATTCCTCTTTTTTTCCCTTCTCACAACATACATGAATTTAAATGGCATCGAAACTGAACAGTGGAATGGAAAAATTGGATGATTCCTTTACAATTGTGACAAAATGGTGCATTATCTTATAATATGAACTACAAGACAAAGCTAATTATTGATGAAATCCACAAGCCAAATAAAGCAATGAAAAAACAGACCAAGTAAAATAGCTCATATACTTACCACTATTTTATCTTACTGAACATGTTTACATATGAATAACAACAATAACAAATTCAGTAAAATCCCATAAGTAAAATTTGAGGAAGGTATAGTATATGCAGATCTTACACGTACATTGTGCAGGCATATAGACTGTTTCCGATAAATCTCCAGCTCAAGATAATCACAGATGTTAATATAGACTGGTATTTTATAATTAACATTTATTAATAATATAATAAATATGATAAGTAACATGCTATAATAGGTTAAACTACGTTCAAAAGATTTTTCTATGTCAGTATATAATAATAACAACAACAACAAAAATAAAAACAAATAGTCTCAATTAGGGCTGTTCATTGGGATCGGATATCCGAAATCCGAACCGATCAATTCAATTTCGGATTTCGGATTGTGTTTATTAAAATTTCAGTTTTCGGATCGGATTCGGATTGGTATATTTTAATCCGATCCGATCTGAAATCCGAAATTATTAGGCAATGTATAAATACTATACTTTAATTTCGGATAGTCGGTACTTCCTTTACATCTTCCTCCAGGTTATTACCTTTACAATTGCTAGATTTAGCTATATTGGCACCATAGTATTCTCATAATTGCAAAAGCATGAATTTTTCTTAATGTATTGCCTCTTTACAAAGAAAATATACATATTAGTTTGCAACTTTGAAGCATAATAATACGATCCGAAATCCGACCCGATCCAAACTTTAAAATCCGTTCCGATCCGATATAATTCGGATCGGATTCGGATTTCATTTTCTAGAATCCGAAATCCGAATCCGAAATGTGCTAAATCCGATACGATACGATCCATGCACAGCCCTAGTCTCAATCCCTAACAAATTAGGACCTATGATAATATGACTCTTTACTTTTTCATTTAAGAGCAACTTTCAATGTCAGCGTATATAACTTAAATATATAATAAATTGACGTAAATATTTGGAGCTAGAAAAGTAGCAGAATAATAATATTTTTCATCTGGAGAGTACAAACAATATCTCATGGGGAATTGATATTTGCTATTTATATTCAAGGGGAGACTCTCTTTCTTGTCACAAATTATAAATTCTGTCCCCCTTTTCTCTTGTGTCCAATAATTCAATCACCTTCATTTAGACTTTGTTCATTTTTCTCTCCGAGTAAAATTAACTTCATCATATTACAATATGGCAGTTTCTTCAGGTCCTGTTTTCAGAATTAACCAGCCTACTTCACTATATTTGACAACTCCAAGATTTCACAATTTGTCAAGGAAAAAGGTAAGCAAAAAACACACCCCATTTGATTTTCTTGGAAAATTTTATCTACGTCGAGAGTCTACCGAAAACAGCCTCTCTGCCTTTACAAAGGTCGGGTAAGGTCTGCGTACACTCTACCTCCCCACACGATTTTCAGTGGGTGTGTTGCTGTTGTTGTTGGAAAATTCTATATTCAAATCTCTCGATAACAGCCTCATTTGTTCTGATACTTTTTGGCTGCTATAGTGAAGTGTTGTTATAGACGATATATGTTCTTACATAACATAAAAATCGGTTTCGAGGAAAATATGGTTTTTACAGTAAATGGAGAGGTCTGACTGTATCTATTTTTTATGTAAAGTTAACTGTCTGGTATCTGAAATTCACTGGCCCGACTAATCTCGAATTGTCCTTGTTTCAGTTTCTAGTTAAAGCTTCTGTGAATGGATCAGAAGAACATAATGGAAAGATAGTAAGAAAGAAAGAAAAAGATAGTTGGCAGATTGATTTTTCAGGAGAAAAGCCACCTACACCAGTTTTGGATACAATCAATTATCCAATGCATATGAAGAATCTATCCAAATTGGTAAATTACTAATCAAACCATTAAAAGTTAAGGCTTGTAATTCTTGTTTTGGATTATTTGATCAGTTTTTTTATTATTTTAAAACAGGATCTTGAACAATTAGCTGCAGAAGTAAGAGCAGAGATTGTGTATTCAGTGGCAAAGACAGGAGGCCATTTGAGTTCAAGTTTAGGTGTTGTGGATTTAACTGTGGCTTTGCACCATGTTTTTGACACTCCAGATGATAAAATTATCTGGGATGTTGGTCATCAGGTGATGAAATGTTAATTCTTTTTATTTCCTTGAAGAATAGGAAGGGAAGCCTTGGCGTAACTGGTAAAGTTGCTGCCATGTGACCAAGAGGTCACGGGTTCGAACCTTGGAAACAACCTCTTGCAGAAATGTAAGGTAAGGCTGCGTACGATAGACCCTTGTGGTTCGACCCTTCCTCGGACCCCGCGCATGGTCAGGGTTCGAGCTTTGAAAACTGCCTCTTGCAGAAATGTAGAGTAAGGCTGCGTACAATAAACCCTTGTGGTTCGGCCCTTCCTCAAACCCCGTACCTGACGGAAGCTTAGTGCACCGGGCTGCCCTTTATTTTCCCGAAGAATAGATAATTCCATAATTTTATATATCAGCAACTAAAGTGGACAAAAAATTTTGCAGGCATATGCACATAAAATCTTAACAGGAAGAAGGTCTAAAATGCATACAATTAGAAAGACTTCAGGGCTAGCACCATTTCCTAAAAGGGATGAAAGTGTTTATGATGCTTTTGGTGCAGGGCATAGTTCAACAAGTATCTCTGCTGGTCTAGGTATTATTTCCAATTACATCATATTACTTTCTGTAACAGCTCACGGACCGCTGGCGGTTGAACTCGAAAACAGGTTCGCTGTAAAACTTGCCTTGGGCAAATCCCACATCGGAATAGGGGAAAAATTGACCCTATAAAAAGGCACGTTCAAGATTCGAATCCCATTGAGGCGCCTTTTGGTTTAAAGCCAAAGGGAACAAAACCGTGATGGCCCAAAGGTTGGGCTACAGCGAACAATATCTTGACAATTGGGTCTGAGCTGTTATATTTTCACCAGGAAAAAAGTAAATAAATCCCAAATAAATACCAAGCTTACTTAGATTAAATGATGTGTTGCAGGCATGGCAGTTGCGCGAGATCTTTTAGGCAAAAACAACCATGTTATTTCTGTAATTGGAGATGGAGCAATGACCGCAGGACAAGCATATGAGGCCATGAATAATGCAGGATTTCTCGACGCGAATCTTATTGTCATATTAAATGATAATGAACAAGTTTCTTTACCAACTGCAACTTTAGATGGCCCTGCAACTCCAGTTGGAGCACTCAGTAGTGCCTTAAGCAAACTCCAAGCTAGTACTAAGTTTAGACAACTTCGCGAAGCTGCCAAGGTATATTGGATTCCTTTTTCGTTTAGTATGGCGTAACTGGTAAAGTTGTTGCCATGTGATTAGGAGGCCATGTGTTCAAGCCGTGAAAACAGCCTCTTGCAAAATGCAGGGTAAGACTGCGTACAATAGACCCTTGTGGTCCAGCCCTTTCTCCGGATCTCGCGCATAGCGGGAGCTTAATGCACCAGGCTGCCCCTTTTTATTATTTAAGGATTGAAATTAGGCAAAGTTGTTAAATATTAAGGATGTTTCTTTTGTCTTTGTAGAGTATAACAAAGCAAATTGGACCACAAGCACATGAAGTTGCAGCTAAAGTTGATGAATATGCAAGGGGAATGATTAGTGCTTCTGGTTCAACTCTTTTTGAGGAGTTAGGCTTATATTATATTGGTCCAGTAGATGGACACGATATTGAAGATTTGATTACTATTTTAAAGAAGGTAAAATCAATGCCAGCAGCAGGACCAGTTCTAATTCACATTGTAACAGAAAAAGGAAAAGGCTATCCTCCTGCTGAAGCAGCAGCTGATAAAATGCATGGTAAGGCAATAAAATAAAAATATTACATGTTGTAAAATTTTGCTGGTAAAGTTGCTGTCATGTGACCAGGAAAGGAGGTCACGTGTTCGAGCCATGAAAATAGCCTCTTGCAGAAATGCAGGGTAAGGCTGCATACAATAGACCTTTGTGGTCCGGCCCTTCCCCGGACCCTGCGCATAGCGGGAGCTTAGTGCATCGAGCTGCCTTTTTTTATGTTGTAAAATTTTGAAGAGGACTAAGGTTTTATGGTTGTAATTTTCAGGGGTGGCACAGTTTGATCCGAAAACAGGAAAGCAATTTAAGGCTAAATCGCCTACGCTTTCATATACTCAATACTTTGCTGAATCCCTTATTAAAGAAGCTGAAGTTGATAATAAGATTGTAGCTATACATGCTGCAATGGGTGGTGGAACTGGCCTCAATTATTTCCAGAAACGATTCCCAGAACGTTGTTTTGATGTCGGCATTGCTGAACAACATGCAGTTACCTTTGCAGCTGGTTTAGCTACAGAAGGCCTAAAACCGTTCTGTGCCATTTACTCCTCGTTCTTACAACGAGGCTATGACCAGGTAACTAAGAGACCGTAACATAACATTTGAAGCATGCCACACCTTTCGGATTGTTGTACTAACGTTGCATAATTGTAAAAAAGGTGGTGCACGACGTGGATCTTCAGAAATTACCTGTCCGGTTTGCAATGGACCGAGCTGGTTTAGTTGGTGCAGATGGTCCAACACATTGTGGAGCATTTGACGTTGCATACATGGCATGTTTACCTAATATGGTAGTCATGGCTCCATCAGATGAAGCAGAGCTAATGCATATGGTTGCAACAGCAGCAGCTATTGATGATAGGCCTAGTTGTTTCAGATTTCCTAGAGGAAATGGAGTTGGTGCACTTCTTCCTCCAAACAATAAAGGAATACCAATTGAGGTACAAATTCATTACTAATTCACCTCTAATAACATCTACATAAAAATGCCTTCGACGTGTTTTTTGTAAGCTCATAAGCTGATCAAACCAACTTATAAGCACTTTTTTGCTTATCTACATGTTTGGTAAACGCGAAAAAGTGCTTATTAGCCAAAACCAGCCAAACGTCATAAGCTGGCTACCCTCAACTCAACTTATAAGCATTTTTGGTTTGATCAAGATTTCTACTATTTTATCACTAATATCTTTTGTACTTCTCGAAATACCCTTTCCAAAACAAAACCCTTAACTCCTCTCTATTTCATTTTCATCCATACTTCTCCTTGTAAAGACATTTTTCTAATTTATACTTTAAAAACAATTAAGGTCATTTTAGTCATTTTGACATAAAAGTATTTATTAGCACTTTTACAACGAAACATCAATTGCATATTATCAACTTAAGCACTCTATCCAAACACGTAAATACTTATTTATAAAATTATTTTCACCACTTAAAAGTTTTTTTTTTTTTCAACATTTGATGTTTATCAGCTACTCTCGATCTCGATCAGTTAAACCAAATAAGCTCTAATTTATGTTGGCATTTATGTCTATATTGTAATATCAACAGGTTGGTAAGGGAAGAATAGTGAGAGAAGGTGAAAGGGTTGCCATTCTAGGATATGGTTCCATAGTACAACAATGTTTGGGAGCTGCAGACATCCTAAATTCGTATAATGTAAGAGTAACAGTAGCCGATGCTCGGTTCTGCAAACCATTGGATGCTAATCTTATTAAGAGATTAGCCAAAGAACATGAAATCTTGATCACTGTTGAAGAAGGATCAATTGGAGGATTTGGCTCACATGTTTCTCATTTCCTAAGCCTAAACAGCATTTTGGATGGACCCCTTAAGGTAAAAGCATTATGAAAGTGTGTGTGATTGGTATGACGAAAGTGATTTTTCAAGAAAATATTTTTTATGAGGAAATTATTTTCTGGTGTTTGATTACCAGAAAACATTTCCTCAGGAAAACATTTTACGCCAAAAGGAAGAAAATGACTTCCCTAACTTATAGACGGAAGTCATTTTTCTTACGGCTATCTTAACTTTTAACTTCATATTACTTGCTTTAAACTTACGACATTATTATTAATCTTCAAAACTCGAAAATTTCATTTAGTCACTAACAAAACACCGAAAAATATTTTACTAGATTGATAGAAAATGAATTATCCATGTGACCAGGAGGTCACGGATTCAAGCCGTGAAAACAAGCTCTTGCAGAAATATAGGGTAAGGCTGCGTAAAACAAACCCTTGTGTTCCGGCCCTTCCCTGAACGCATAGGGGGAGCTTAATGCACCACGCTACCCTTTTGACGGAAAATGACTTATGTCATACCAAACACATTAAAATACAAAAAATTCAAGAATCTTTTCTGCAAGTAGATTTGTCATTTTTCTTGTTCCTTTTTGTGTTTTAAATCTTAAATTTTGAATTTTGCAGTTGAGGTCAATGGTACTTCCAGATAGATACGTAGATCATGGATCACCACTTGATCAGATTGAAGCAGCTGGTTTGTCATCTAGGCATATATCTGCTACAGTATTAAAACTATTGGGAAGACCAAAGGAAGCTCTTGTAGTAAATTAGATTTGCTAAGTGAAATTCTATAGTTTAAGGGAAGGATTAAGATTATAGATCCAGGAAAATGTGTCATTGTTTTAGCACTGAATTAATCAGATGTATAACCTTTATTACCTTGTGCTCGTGTATATTAGTGTCATTTTGTGTAGTTGTAATAACTGTTGTCTTTTTATTTTTTGTGCTTAAGGATAAGGAGATTAAGTCCTCGTTCTCCTTTAAAACATGCCAAAAGAAACAGCCATATTATAATAATGTCTCCCTTTGCCTGGCTGATAAAAATTTATTCACACCGGGTGTTTATACTAACCAAATGAATGTGGACATTCACTTTTTACACCTAATCGTGATTAAGAGATTCTATATAATTGGGGGAAGATAAGAGTTCATGGTTAATTTCACATATGGTCACAATAAAATTAACTATTTTTTATTACATACCACTATAACATTCAAATTATAAACCTTTTTCGTTATATTAAAGTAGCTGACTTCGAGCGCATAGTCGTAATAGAGCATGGCTGCTGCTCAGCTCCAGTATCAGTCTCTAACTTATCCTTGCCTTGTTGCAGTAGAAACTGTATATTACTTGCGCTTTAACGGCAGCCCGGTACACTAAGCTCCCGCTATGAACCGGGTCCGGAAAAAGACTGAACCACAAGGATCTATTATATGCAGCCTTACCCTTTCTTGACTAAAAATGTATCTATCATTCATTTGTCACGCCTACTCCCTGTTCAATTACATGCAAAAAATCTTCCTATCAAACAGTCTCGTGTTACCGAATGATGATGAATTACTTCTATTTAATAGAATATTTAACTCGAAAATACAAAGATCCACGTTATTTTCATTCAACCGCTACGTTATTTTCATTCAACCGCTACAAGATCATTAATTCCATAAGTTTGGACTTCTGTTGCTAACATAAAAACATCTCTTTCCATATATTCGGATACTAACACATGTAGAACAATAAGAATATCAAGAGTCAATTTGCACCCTATGTGAAGGTTACATTATCGAAGACAGATGTCAAAGGATCGGAGGCAGATGGAGCATGGGTTAAGTTGAACCACTAAAACCAGCAGTTTCGACACGGAGCACAAATACATATGTTAAAAATACTAAAATTTCAACAAGTAAAAGTTATGAACCCATAATTTCATAAATGCATTAGGTTCAGTTGTAAGAACCTCAAGGGTTAAACCCATCGAGTTTCAATCTCAGATCCACTTCCAGAAAGGAAGTGGTACACCACACCTGGTACCACATTAGCTCAACCAATTTACAGAACAATGACAACAGTAATGTTTTTTTTTCGCACTAAGCTTTACCGCGAATGTAGATTTAAACACAGAGTCTTTACACAGACTGGTGTATTTACCCGAGGTCTAGCGACTATGTTTCAAAGTAAGAACCTAGACAATGTAGGTATGGAGCATGCATACTTACAGGTTGCCAAATGCACCATAACTATCCACTAGTGACGAAGGAATCATCTTATCAAAATATGGGGGTAGCACCCATCTTCTTGTCGGTCTATGTCCTGGAGCACTGGTGGTTTTGATTATAAGAAGATGAAGGCTTGATGAACGCTCTGTGCAATCTGGATCTGTTCAGGTGAACCAGATATGATAACCTTTCCATCACATTCTCCAGGACCTGGATCTTGTAGAACGACTGCGGCTCCAGAGATCTGATCCATAACATAGAGAACAAACGCAATGAATATAAACTTATAACATCATGTTAACCACCTGCTCCTGACCCTAAAATGAAAGCCTTGAGCTCGGAATCAAATTAATTCGACCTAGTTCTCTTTCCTCACCCATCCCTTTGCATTCTGTTGCTCTCATCTGTTGCCCTCTCTTCTTTTTTTCCTTCATTTTATTCCTTTTCTTTTTGGGAGGGTGTTGAGTTTACCTCTTTCAATCGAGCCAAATTGGAACCATTCTCGCCATAAACAGAACTAAATTTTTGTCCTGAAACAGTGATCACAATGGTTTTCTTTGCTACCCCATTCTCATCCATCCTGCTCAGCCAATGAAAGAGCAAGAAACATCACAAAGCAGAGATATGTAGCCTCAGCAGAATATAAACATAGAACTAGATTGATCTTGAAGGTCAATTGCCATTATAGTACTTTTCATGTTTACTTTACGGGAAGCCTTATAAAAACAGCTATCTCAAGGAGAATACGAAACATCGGATTTTTCCTTTTATTTCAGTTTTGATTGCAAAAAAAAGAAAAAAGAAAACAAATCAGGTATGAAGTTTCTGTTATAAGACAATACAAAAATATTTAATAAGTTTTGTATTTAATGTCAGTCACAACTCAAACCTTCCACTTTCAGGTCCACCTTGAGAACTCTTCCAGCCACCCATGCTTTCTTTGATTGTCTTGCCATTCGATCTATGCTTGGACTGCACAATAAAAAACCGTCAAGCATTAAATCCCCATAGACGTATTCCAGACAAAGAAGAAAAGGAGGGAGTGAATCCCAGTAAGTAAACAGGATACAGCTTTCAAACCTGTTTGTCCTGTAATAACGAATGAGGACCACCAAGATTTGGCACAAAACCAAGATGATCCATTTTGTCGAGAGAAGAAAAGCTGGGCAAGTGATCCAACTGAGAAGGCATACTAGTACCAATTTCATGGAGACTTCCATGGGAGCGCGAAGAATAAGGATAATTTCTAGGTACAGCTTCTTCAGAAACCAAATTGGAAAAGAAGGCCTCCCTCAGCCTACCAGTAAGTTGAAAAAGGGCACTCTTCACGCTGTCGTGCTCGCCAACAATCTGTGGAATAATGCCTTTATCTTCCAGTTGCAAATAAACCAGACATGAATGTAAAAGCATTTCAAAGTCAAACGTTGCATGAATCCCACTAGAAAATGTCAAAAAGATGGGAGGGTTAAAATCACATCTCAAACTCTTTGCATGTTAACCTCACCACCATTAAGATACTGTAAGCTCGCTGGACAATAAACTTTTTGGTTAGCAAGAGGTACTTCCCCTTATAGTTTTTTGATTGGTTTAGGACTTTCCCTTCTAGTTAATCAGAACTCAAGAGAGTCCCTGCCTCAACATTCTGCAACTAATGGATTAAAACATGAGCCCCATTGATAACCTTTTCAAACCCATTTTAATACGAATTTTGTACCACAGAGAGTTACACAAGGCCCACCTTTTTATTTGATAACCGTGAAATTTATGAGCTAAAACACGGTTCAAATCTCGGTGGATAATAGGTTTGTTCCTCTATTCTTCTCAACTTAAATACTGGCTTTCGAACCCGTGATGTGCGCCTAACACATACATCACATGTTGCGCTCTTACCGCTAGACCAACTCTTGGCACATAAGGCCCACTTTTCTCCAATCCATAATTCAAAAGAAAGAAAAAGCCAAAAAGTTATCAATGGACCAGTGGTCTTCACCTTCCATTCAAGGGTATATGTTTTCATCTTCATAGTTAGACTAAAATCACATGGAATAAAATTGTCTTGTAGGACCTTCAATCTCTTGGAATCCATGCAAACTTAGCGCAAATAGTGCACAATGGAAGAAAAAAAATCAATACTTGGGATACTAATTAGGTGTAATTAAGGGTTAGTTTATTCTCATTAGAGACTTATATGCAAGTAGAAAATATAAAGAATTTTAAGTGCTAAAGCCTAAATCTTCAAATATAGGATCGTTACAGGTCTAAATGGAGCGACATGATTCATGAGTATTCACCAAAACACATACAAATACACATACATACACACACATATATACATATAATATATGTCATATATAGCGGACCCCAACTAGCTTGAAGTTTAGGCGTGGTTGTTATTGTGTTATAGTTGGTACATGTGCCAAATCTACTATAGACATCCAATTTGCAAAGGAGAGACTACCTTTAAAAATATTACCCATAAACTTACCTTCAAAACATAGGGATAAATGGCCTGTCTACCCTTCTCCACTTGAATATCAGGCTTAGAGCCCGTTTGGATTGGCTTATTTTAAGTGCTTTTAAGCCAAAATAGCTTTTAAGCCATTTTGTAGTGTTTGGATAAAGTAAAAAAGTGCTTTTAAGTACTTGTTTTTAAGCTAAAATGACAAAAATAAGCCAAAAGTTAGAATTCCTAACTTATGGCTTTTGGCTTAAAAGTCACTTACAACAAGCCCTGACACACTATTTTAGTACTTTTTATCACTACTTCTTTCAAGTTTTGCAGAAAGAAGACATATACACACAGACACACTATTAGTTCTTTCAAGTTTTACATTAACAAATAATTTTCAGCTTAATTTCCTTAATTATTTTTTGATATGGTACTTTGCTCCCTTAGTGGAGGTGCTTTCCACAACCTTACTTTCCTTGATTATTGTAATTACTAATTACAGATTAATGAACGCATCATAGCAGATAGATTTTGGTTAAAGAACTTTTTCTAATGGAATTATTAGTTTAAGTTTGATACAAGAACTACAATAAGAATATGACAGGTATTTATAGACCAGACTGAACCTGCCACTTCAATTGGTTAAACTGGAAATTGGGCAGCCAGACAGGCAGTCCAGTTAGATGGGAAAAAAGCAAAAACGCATTCAAGGATAAGGATTTTTGGGATTTGCCAGCTAGATGGATCTCAGTGAATGACATGATTTTCATCTCCTCTTTGTAATTACCATTAACTAGAAACATCTACTAGACCTCATAACTGAACAGCAACTTGTAAGCTTCGCAGTTCAAGTTTAAAAACAGGTTATATGGGTAGTTGGATTGACTGCTTTGTAATATCATCTCAAGCAGCCACAACTTCCATAACAAGAACAGGAGACATTAAACTAGAGCCAAGGTTACTGCAGTTTCCACTTGAATTATTGCAACTTGGGGTAGTGCAATTTATCTGAAGTTTCTGAACCTCAAGGCATGAAGCTTGAGAGCACTCAAAAGAAAGAACATTGAAGAATAGGTTTTAAATATATTTAAAGAGAAAAGCAATAAATTGCACAAGACAAAATTTACGTGGTTCGGCAATTTTTGCCTACTCCACGACCACACTAAGGATAGCTCTTTATTAATTGAAGAGAAAGAAGAAGTTGAGGAATGATTTACAATTGAAAAGAGAATGCCTATTTATAGGCAGAACGTCGGTTGAAAAAAGATTTTAGCGAATGTGAATACGTAGCAGGACGGCACCGCAACCTACACGCCGAACTTTTTCTTTCACATTTTCAGCTCACCAACTTTGACCTTTCCTTTCTTCTCTCGTTTTCTTTCTTTTCATTCTTGCATTTTTCTCTGTCTTTTTCTCCTTCTTTTTGTTTGACTTTTCATTTACCCACATGGGTTTGTCCCATCAATTTCTCTTAGAAAACGCTACGCCCCGACCCGAGTCCCCACATCCGCTTTTCTCCCCGCAACCCAATAAGTTGGCAAAGCCAACACAAGATTAGGGTCGTCCCCTTCATTCTATGCCGACCCTGGCCCGGGCTGGGCGTATCACAGTTTTTCACCGAGGGGTTGGATCAAAGAGATTGCAGCAAAGAATTGATCTGAAACGAAGCACTTCATCTATAGGCATTGTAGAAAGGATAGAATATGAGTCTAATCGTTCTTCTCAAATCGCTCCACAAATCGCTCCAGTACGATGGACCAGGGGGGGGGGTCCGCCAGAGAAAATGCAACACAATAGAAAGTTCGCTCCGCCGCGTAAGATCCTGAAATCAACCACGACATTTGATGGGACAAACCCATGTGGGTAAATGAAAAGTCGAACAAAAATAAGGAGAAAAAGACAGAGAAAAATGCAAGAATGAAAAAAAACGAGAAGAAAGGAAAAGTCAAAGTTGGTGAGCTAAAAATGTTAAAGAAAAAGTTCGGCGCGTAGGTTGCGGTGTCGTCCTGCCGCGTATTCACATTCGCTAAAATCTTTTTCAGCAGACGTTTTGCCTATAAATAGGCATTCTCTTTTCAATAGTAACTCATCTCTCAACTTCTTCTTTCTCTTCAATTAATAAAGAGCTATTCTTTGTGTGGCCGTGGAATAGGCAAAAATTATCGAACCACGTAAACCTTGTCTTGTCTTGTGCAATTTATTTCTTTTCTCTTTAAAAAAAATTCCTTTCTATTAGCATGACACGCTTCCCAACATTATCCGGCAAGATAAGTGAAAACATAATGGTTGCAACAACAGCAGTTATGCTATGTGCTAGATTGTCTGGCTGTTGCAATAATTGAAGCAAGATGACCTTTTTTCTTTTTTAAGAAGTCGAAGCAAGACGACTTTTTTTTCTTTTTAAAGAAGTCGAGGCAAGATGACATGCCATAGAAGCTTGAAAAACTCAAATAGTTATCTATACAAGCAAGAAAATTGAAAGAGAATAAATAGAAGCTCAAAAGGATTTTTAATGCCCTTCTTGAAAAAGAAAAAGAAAGCCAGTAAATCCTAGAGCCGATAAATTTTATCCTTTTACGTAGTAGACTAGGCCCTAGCAAGTGCAGACAATCTTAACATGATCACCCTACCGGTGTTAAATTCTCTCAACCATATTTCTCCTCAAACGTAATATGTTCTACAACTAATGTTTAATTAGTAATGAATGGAACGGGTTCAAATGGAGCCAAATGAATAGTAGGTTTCTGTTTAACATACGCAACTAGCTTGGGCTTGAGGTATAGTTGTTTCCTAAGTTGCACAGACTCGAATGCAGGTGTCCGATACAGGTACGGATCTAGATGTTGGATTTTTCATGATCCAAATTTTAAGATTTAGGGATGCGGATACGGGAGCGGCGATTCGACTAAAAGTTAATCCAAATATCTAAACAATTATAAAAATATGTCTACATTAAGAGACATTATGTGGAGAAATGACAAGGTATTACGAGAATGAGAAAATATTGATCAAGAGGAGAGCTCGAGAAGGAGATACTGACATCAAATTTTCTGTATAGAAGGTATTCCATTTTCTTGAATTTCACACCCTATCTTTTGTTTTGATTTCAGAAATCATTGTATCTGTCCAGAATGTCTCGGTCGATTTTGGTCAAAGAACCCAAAGTCTGTTGACCGAATTCGGTACGGATCTCACACTCACGTTGTGTCAACAGAGGTGCGGCACCGAAAGTGAAGAGTCCAAGCAACTTAGGTTGTTTAAATGTTGAATATTTAAAAGTAGGTTATGCAACAACTGAATTACCTGAAGTACATAAACAAAATAAAAAGAATTTGCAAACAATTCAGTTGTATTTGGTATATTTTAATGAATATGCTTAAACTGCATCTGTTAAAATTTTATTTTATTTTCGAAATTTGGTACATTTTAATGAATATGCTTAAACTGTATTTGGTACATTTTAATGAATATTTAAAACTTAGTTGTATGAAGTTAATCTACCATATCTAAAGCCTAAATTCTTTTGATAATTTGGCAAGTAAAAGCTCCATTGGAGATTCATAAGTGACTTAAAATATCAAGTACATGTAATTAATTGTCATCTCAACTTCCTTATTTAAGCCAGTATATGCTGATTCTCATAAAAATCAACCAACTGTATTAAATCCAAGATTTGAACATATTTTCTATAACACCCTTATAAGAATACAAGTGAAACGGGTTTGGTAGTAATTCTTATTCCTAATTCTCCAATTTGAGATTGTTGTAGTTGAGATGTAATCGGATATTTCGTCTGTTCTTTTCCCATTTTGTTATTGGTTAACATAGAGGTGAACCAAAATTTAGTTATTTTATGGTCATGAAATATATTAAGGACGGACAGAACTGTTAATAGTTTGAGTCATAGAGATCAAGGTAGTAGTTTACATCATTACCTGTACCACTTTATCATTCTCTGCAGCACAGTTTGGAGCATGCTCTGCACCCAATAGTTGTACTTCAACCCCCGTCGATAAACCTATTTCCGATGAAACTCTTTCCCATTCAGCAATTAGGCATTTGATTTCACTCGATCCAACTAAGATTCTTGCACTTATGGAACCACTCTTCCCCACACCAGGTATGTGCCTGTGTACACGGCTAGCTTCTAAAGATCTTTCAAACACTCGAACTGTGGCAACTTGTGCAGGTGAGTATAATGGCTCCCGGCTCTAAAGAAGATCTCAAAACAGTTAGAGAAGACAGCATTTGCAAAAACCTGTCAAAAGTGTCATTAATGAAGCACAATGGAAAAACTGGCATGACTAGAAGTTAAAGGAAGTAATGAATAGTCACTGAACTTCAAGCGAAGATATGGTGGCAACACGGTCTTTTGACCCTGCAATTGGAGTGGAAAACTTTATAGACGCTCCAGTATCTTTCTCTAAAGCTTTGACAATAATAGCCCCCTTGCCAATCACACCTCCAGCAGCGTCATTAGAGCAAAGCAATCTAAAGACTACTTTTCTTTGAGCACTGTCCGCATCCAGATTCAAAACTCTATCAACATCTGATGATAATGACTGTACTACTGAAGAATGATTAACGGCATTTCTCTGCAACGATGGTATCGAGGGTTTGGTATCCAGAAGAAAGTCCGCAGACTGTTCACGGACTGCGCCTTCCGAAGTAACGTGGGCTGTTGTTCTGTCAGCTGGTAAGCGAACTTGAAGACGCCGAGAAACGGGAACCAATGCTTTCTTTACGGCCAAAGTTCTACCCATTATCTGCATTGATTTAAACAATCACTTAGAGATAAACCGAATGCATATTTTTCCCCTACATAGATATCTATTCATTTGCCACATACAAACATATCTCGATTTTCCACTACAACGAAATCAGTGTATTCCCATAAATGGGGTCTGGGGAGGGTAGTGTGTACGCAAACCTTACCCCTATCTCGATTTTCCACTACATAAGACAAATTTGGAACTAAAATAGTCATTTGCTATGTTACGCAGACTCTTCAAAATGTTGCCGTAGCCGTGTCGGATCCTCCAAAAATACACTTACTTTTGGAGGATCCGACACACACCCGACAATATTTTCGGAGAGTCCCAGCAACATAAGTCATTTGTCACCTTGCTCTCCATTATATGAGATGTAAATCTAAATTGCAAAAAGAGAGTAATGCCCCGAGATAAAATGAAAAAGAACAAAAGAAAATAGCAAAAAGGATGCAAAAGTTGCCATATTACACGCTTCTCCAACACTGTGTCTTCTGCTGGGAACAAAGGAAAAGCATTTCCAGATCTAGTAAGTCCTTCATTTCACCTCAACACTAATAATAACTACCTTTCCCAACTCTCACATCAATACACACTGAGTTTTGATCTCTACACTCAAGCTGAGACATTCATCCCATGAGTTTCATTTAAAGCGACAACATACTTTTTCCCTCCTTTCTTTTTCAAGGAACCTTTTTATTTTTTTAAGGTGTGGCTGTCAAACATGTGGCAGCAATATTAGGGACTTTGATTTACCTCGAATATTACCAAATTTACCAGATTCCCCCTTCAACACAAGCGGGTAGCCACACCAAAGAACCCCTTTCTTCAAACCACATTTTATTACCATTCTCACCCGACTCTAAAGAAAAGATTAGTCCAACAGATCTGACATTTCATTTCTAGTTCACAACACAAACTAACTGTTGACAACAATTTTTGAAAGGTCAATACAACACTAACTACACCTCAATTCCAAATTAGTTGGGATAAATCCTCTATACTCATTTCACTCTATCTAGGTCCATTTCATTTCAATATTCAATAACTTGTCACGAGTTAGGGGTTCTTTGAAACGGTTCTCTCAATCTCACTGTCAAACAATCTCCAATCAAAATAAAAAGACTCTTGTCAAAACACCAAACTAATAAAGCATAGAATTAAAATCCAACACACTAATATCTCCAAATAGATAGAGTTTAGTTTCTATGCACTCACAGTGCAAACAATATTTACGCAATCAGATTACTTAAATGGTAATTGCATGTAGCTCTATTTAATAGCATTGATCGGTATCTTAAAATAAATGGTAAGTAACATGTTACAGCAGGATAAATAACACTGATGCTGTAAAAAATTCATTACATTTTCAGTGTATATAACTTAAATTTTCAGAAACAAACACCTGAATCAACTCTTCTTCAGGTACAGCACAAGCAGGAAGCTGGTCTTTTTTCAAAACCTTAATTTTGGCACCTGTACTTTTCCTTATACCATCTACAATGGCGCCACCTTTTCCCATTAAAGCTCCAATTTGACTTTTAATTGCGAGCAATCTACACCCAACTGCCCCACCTTCATTTCCTTCAACCTGCAATACCCTTTCGTAAACTCGAATCAAACCTTCTTGTGCTCTAGAAACTTCCACTACCTCCTCAACTTCTTCACTGTTATTATAGCTTATCCCTATTTTCTTATCTATATTTGAGTCACCAGTGATGTTTATAACCCGTTCATGGCAATTTGGTAAAGGTTCTTCGAACCGGATTTTGCATCCGGTTTGAGTTTCGAGGTTCTTAATTACACCGCCGGAGTTTCCGATGACTCCGCCTGCTGTGTTGACGTGGCAGAGTAGTCGGAAATTTACTTGACCTGGTTGGACTACTGTTGTTGGATCTCCTCCTCCGCCACCGCCGCCCCTCTTGCTCGCCGGACGGTGGTGGTTTTGGTGGTTCATTTTTTATCAGGCGGAAGCAGAAAGAGAATGACTGAAGTGGTTATAATGAGATGTCGTTTTGTTTATATGACTTTGTACGGACTTGAGTGTGACTGTGTGTGTGTGTTTTTTTAAGGGCGTGTTTGGATATCAGATTATTAAAAAAGTTTTTTTTTTTTTTTTTGGAATAGTATAGTTACCTTGTTTGGCCAAGTTACTAAAATCTGCTTATTTCGAGAAATTTATTTTTTCAAAAATGCTTTAAAAAGCACTTTTGATGAAAATCAGTTTGTGTTTGGCTAATTAATTTAAAAAATACTTTTGATAGCAATTAGTGTTTGGTCAAACTTTAAAAAGTATTTTAAATATAATTTTCTCGAAAGTGCTTTAGTGAATAAGCTACTTTTTTTGCTTTTCAAAAATTATTTCTACTCTTACTCAAAAGCACTATTTTTCTTCTAGTGAGTAGAACGAAATGTATTGGTAAAATAAATTCTGGAAACAAAAACAACAAAAAACATAAATGTAGAAGAAGCAGAAACTAATCCGAACTCACTGAATTCACAGTGTTTCTTTAAGAAACTTAATATGCTCCTAGTACCCAAGGTTTAGGATTATTTTCTCCAATGATAGAACAGATTACGCACATCGTGTATTGGAACTTCAAACCTTAGCGTTTCAACGAACTCAAAGATCGGTAGCAATCACATTTATTGTTTCTTTCTTTTTTTGTTTAAAAAAATAATGCAGAAGAAAGAAGGATAATTCCGAATTTTCGTAAGAAAAATATGAGAAAATGGCCTGGTATTTATAACCATTAAGTTGGGTTCAAATGAAGAGGTGCAACTCTTCAAGATGACCTTTTGCGTAAAAGGGTTATTTATGCAAAATAAAATAGGAAAACAACTTTACCATTTCTCCGAGGCTCCCATTTAATATCACATTCAATTACAACCGATAATAATGAGACACATTATTATTATTATTATTATTATTATTATTATTATTATTATTATTATTATTATTATAGTAGTAGTAGTAGTAGTAGAGAATGCGAAAAAACTTTCAAAAGATTTTCATACATCAAAAATCAACTTACTGTCTTTTAAAAAAAAAAAAAGAAATATCATCCTGAAATGAATCATACACTACTGACAGTTTCTCTAAGAGCCTGTTTGGACATAAGAATTTTTTCACTTTTTCGATTTTTATTTATCTTTTTCGAAATCAGTGTTTGGTCATAAAATTTTCAATTTTCACTTGAAGATGAATTTTGGAATTTTTCGAAAATTTAAAAAACTTCAAAAAGGTGTTTTAAAATTTTTTCCTCATATCACTCACAAAAATTCAAAAACAACCTAAAATTATATTTCTGTCCAAACTCAACTCTAATTTTCAAATACTATTTTTACTGAAAAAAGAAATTCACTTTTTTTTTTAAATTTATAATTCTTATGTCCAAACGCCCACTAAGAATAAACTATCACGAGTACCCTTTGTTAAGCATATATATATATATGCTCACTTTTTCATGCTTCCTGATCATCAGAAAAGAAAGGATAAAAGACTATTTATGTTACTTTCTTCTTTATTTTCCCTTATCTTATTTTATCCTTCTTTTTTGTTTACCTTTTTTTTAACTATATAATAAGTAAAGGTTCCTTGGACGACCAAGGGTGTTTTGGTAATTTGATACATGGATATTTCTAGAACCTGGACCCATTATTATGTTAATACAAGACCCATTGAAAGTGGACCACATGTGTCCTTTTGTTCTCCACGTGCTCAACTTTTACTTTACTATTTATTTCCTTTCTTTTATACTTTCCATTGTCTACTGTCCAGCCACTTCATCTTCTTCACTGGAAAAAGGTACGGTCTTCTACCCACTTTAGTTTCAATGATTTCTCTCTCTCATTCATCTACTTCTCTTCTATATTCTAGCAGTGCATTTCTTTGATGGTTTATTTCATTTCGTGGGTCTCTATCTCGGTTTCAACGTTCTCCATTTTGTATAATTTGTGATTCTCCAAGCTTTCATTTTGTGGGTAAATTTTTGCTAGATTCTTTTCCTTTCCGTTTAATTTTCTTCTGGTTGCCTTTTTTTTTTTTTTACTTTTGGTACTCCTTTTTGGATTTCATTTATAGCTTTTCAAGTTTCTCACTAGAAAAAGGCAGGGAGATGGATATTATTTGTCTTTCCTATGTTTTTTCAACCATGCATCTGTTAGTTTACAACGACATAGAGCAATTTTACGTTTTTTCTTTGTTATTGGGATTGTTAGTAATAACAATTAAAGTGATTTCCTAAAAATTTTCCTCATGTCTTTGTTTCTATATATGATGGATTCCTCTTGGTCTTTTTTTTCCCTATTTTTTCTCTTGATTTCTTTATGCTTTCTGCATTTTATGTCAGTTCTTTCAAATGAATGTCGGAAGAACAACAGTTATGTAAAATTAGCATTTACTCCTGAATAAACCAAAAAAAATAGAGAGCAGAAAAGGTGAAAAACTAACAAAATCCACAATGCTAGCAAAAGTCTTGGAAGCGGACGACGAAAGATAGATTTTTTCTTTATGGCAAAGTTATGAAAGTGGAACCTTATTTTGAGGCGGAAAGGCAAAAGGAGGATTTGTGTGATTAGGGGTATCAAAGTGGAAGATAATGGGACACGTGGTTTACATCTAAGAATGAAGAGTTCTTTGTTTCTATTTATGCTGGATTCCTCTTGGTCCTTCTTTTTTTTCCTATTTTTTCTCTTGATTTCTTTATGGTTTCTGCATTTTATGTCTTGCATGTGTGAGTTCTTTCAGATGAATGTCAGAAGTTAATTTATACTAATTAGCACCTGCAAATTTCATATTTATGTATGTTTTAGGTTACAAGGAACATTTTCATATCTTTCTTCAACTCCTCTGTATTTCTTTTTCCTCTATCTGATAATTGCTCATCGCTTCTGGGTATCATTTCCCAAATTATCCATTTTCGGTTTCTAATTCTCTAGCTTTTATTTTATTCGTTACTTCTGCGTCACCCATGTTAAATTCGAGCTGGCGGGACTGATGTGATTGTTGGAGCCTCTTGTTAGCACGGTTCAATGCCCTGAATGTTTTCTCGGGGTCTGAAAGTCCTTCTAGCTGTTCTCCGGTCCTCGAAGAACTTCTAGGCATACACCTGCTTTCCACAAGACTTCAGACGTTAGAATTTCAATGAAAAGATTGGGTACAGAGAAAACTGACTGCACTTAGAATTTTTGTACTTCTTTCAATTGTAATTGATAACACCGTTAATTCCCCGGCAACGGTGCCAAAATTTGATCACGCTCAATTGAGTCTCGCAAAAGACTACGCGGGTGTTGCAAATATAATTTGAGTATTTATGCCCAGAGTCGAACCACAGAAAATTAACCTATCAATTACTATTGTCCGATTTACTAAATTCACACAATCTGTTTCTCCAAACTTATTGATTCACAATGGTTGATTTTTTCTAACAACTAAAGACTGAGAGTAATTAATAGCTGAAAATTAACTAAACTTGAGGTGTAAACAATTGGAATAAGGTCTAAGGCAATGGTTTCCCCCGTTGGTAATTTCCTTGGTTGTATATGTCTTATAACTATGATTTAGTTGTCTCTACCAATCACGAACGCTCCAGCTATCATAAATCTTTCTCAAGCAATTATGATAATTTACTAGACGTACTCTCTCAAGCTACGCTAGCTAGATTCACAATATGGTTCACTTAGATTGCACCCGAGGTATCGTTATCTCTAATCCAACCTCTAAACCCTCGGTTATGACTCTCGTCTATACTCCGGGAGTGATGTTGTTCATATAATCACCTAAATATGCACTCTCTCTCAAGTAGATACATACTAAATAGGAACGAATAATTGAGGGCCCTTTCAACTAACCACAATCAAAACATAGATGAACAATTAGAGATTAACAACCAATTCCCACTATATTAACAAAACAACCAAGTCATCCCCAACGGGTTCCACTAAAACCTTAGATTAAGGTATTTAGCTAATCATAACAATGGAGGAATAAACTACTAGAAGATTCATAATCAAAGATTGCAAGAAAAATAAAAGAGAAATAAGAATAATGATGTTTTGGGTGATCTCTCACACTTGTTTTTCTTGCCAAAGTACTCTCTAAAATCCAATCTGCCCTAATGTGGCCGAAATCCTACTTCTTATAAGGGTTTTACACCAAGTTTTCCCGACCTGACACTTTCGTCCCTGGCTTTTTTGCGTTCTGCCGCGGTCCCACCGCGGTTGCGCCAGGACCGCGGCCAAATAAGCTCTCTGAATCTGCAACTCTACTCTGTCGCGGTCCTACCGCGGTTACGGTCTGACCGCGGCAGGCCAATTTCAGCACTTCTTTTACTTTTCACTTGGTGCATTTCTTGGGCATTGTTTGATTGGCCTCCTTTTTTTCCGTAATTGATCCCAAACTTGTTCCATTGACTTCTTTCGTTGGATATAGCCTGCAAAGCATGAAAAGCACTAATCAGAGCATTTGGTTATCACTTTTTACAACAACGCTATACAAAAAATGTGGTTCTTTAGGGTCTAATTGTAGTCTAATTCACATATTATCAACACCCCACACTTAAATCTTTGCTCGTCCTCGAGTAAGTTAAACCACACTTTTAGGCCTAATCGTTTGATGCATTACCCTTTTATATCACACCTGCTATTAAGAAAGAACAACCTAAGCAGTGCAACAGCCACACCTCAGATGAAGACTCTAATGTCATGCCACACTCTTGCTTACTCTATGTACTCTAACAGAAGTGAAGACTTGCTTTTTCTTCTTGAGTTAAATGCCCTCACATCACATTTTTGAGAGAGGTTCCACACACATGAAATCAAACAACAAGGAACTTTAGATAGAAAGAATTCACTCACTCTCAACAAAGAACATTCATATGCCATACGGATACACCATAAGCTTGCCCTTAGTGTAATACTCTACTAATCGAGTTGCTCAGTCTATGATCATTAGGGCTTCATTTGGTTGTAATGTAGGCTACGGGACGGGTAGGATACATTTAGATAT